TGTTATTTAGTTACAAAAGCGTACTAGTGAAGTTGAAAGAAAACATAATCACAAAAGAAATATTAAAAGAGATTTGTAAGATAAAGATAACTGATGTTACATTATTAATTATATGCTAAAAGGAAAATTGTTTTTGATTAATCAGAAAAATTCAAAAATATCATTCCTTGAAATTTGCAAAGAAAAATTCTTGTAACTAAGATACGTTCTGTTATTGATTAGTCACTGGTCCACAGAACCAGTAGCTAAAAGATATAACTTCTCTGTACACATTTTCGCAGGACTGTTTACATGCATCTATTAGATTTTATTTTCTTTAAGGCAAAGGTAATACAATAGGGTGAATTCAAATGAAAAAATTACAATACTAATAATAGAAAATGTTCAAAGTTCTGATGAAAATGATATTTTCTGACAATCACAAAGACTAAAACACGAAAATAAAAATCATAAAAACAAAACAGTTTTTCACCCCTTTTTATTGCCTGTTGGTCCGGGGATGCACTGATAATTATACAGGGTTATCCGTAATTCCCCCCGGGGTTTAGAAGCGTTATAGTAAGAAAACGAAGACGAATATGGCAAAAAGGAACATATGAAATTATTCCGAAAGTATTCAAGTTTTAATTTAAGCAGTTGACGGTGGATGGCAGTAACATGTACCACTGAAGCCAGTTGTAGTAAAGAAAAATGGCGTTTACAGACGGAGGGAATTATGAGTAACCCTGTATTATGATAGTACGAGTCAAATTTAAATTTTCCGTTCCACCATGTTTTCTTTAGACAAAAACATAAAAATTTATATTTATTGAAAGATACCCAAAAGGGTCAATAAAATTATTTTACGATAAAATATAAAGTAAGAATCATTAATTAATGTTGCATATGGTTACTAATTCTAAATTAAAATGATTTGGAAATCAAACATACACGCAACACCCAGATAATAAAAAGACCTAACCGAGATAGGCTTAACAGAACGGAGGCAGAAAAAATATAGAATAAAATCCCTTGATACTGTTAACAAATATTTAAAAATCAAAATATAATTATTTTTATTACACAACAAAAAACTACATAACCTTACGGTAACCTATCTTTTTGTTTGATGTATTACAACGTCAGACTTCCAGTAATTTTCGATTGTAAACAATTTGCTCGCGTTATTCAAAGCTAGCTAATATCTGTGTTTTCTGAAGTAAAAATAATTCTAGTTAGGTGTGAATAAAAAAGAGCTTGGTGTAAGCTTATTCCGATATATGTGTTTAGGTTTAAATTTCTCCCTTTAAACTATATTTGAAAGTTTAACTTAGTGTTAACCTGAGTTAAATTATCAATTCGAATATTTTTTGGGCTGGATAATATCTTATGCACAGTGGCATTTCACTACAGTTTTTACAGTGTAATGGCAAAGGTAAATACAGCAAAATATTTTAATAAAATTCATAAAGATAGCTGTATAAAATTAGAATTGATTTTCGTTTTAGCGTAAAATCTCCTCTAAAGATTTTATGTTTTTTTAAAAAAAAAAATAAAAAAAACCTTATATGTTTATTCAATAAGCTCACTAATTAATTACAATACGCTAAAAGTTCTATTTTATAATCAAGTTTTTGCTGACAAAACTTTTTAGTTATGTTTACTTTACATATTGGAACAGTACATACTTCGAACGGTTAAGTTTACTTTATTGAAACTTTTTTCCTGAATTAATAACAATGATAAAGATTGCGGAGTTAAAAATTCATAAACGTGTTTATAATATAATTAGGTTATAGGCATGTTTACTTATACATTTTTCATCCCTCTATAGAGTAACAAATATTGACGTTACTACAAACTTCTTAAAAAGATTGAATAACAAAACACAGATTTTATAAAAAGAATAAACGCTATTTTATAATGGAGGGTATTAAAAAAACAATCTCAAGAAAAAAAACACTAAACTTTACGACCTTTAAGGATATAAGTAAATTTCATTTTGTTTCTTTCATGTATAAGAAAATCAGCATACATTATTACTGATTTTATCGCCATAAGGCGCCGCACGAGAGTAATAACACTAAGCCAAATTGAGAAAATTCTTAAAATTTCGATCTTTAAGTTGCATTATTATCAAAATGCCCTCGAGATAAATAAAAACTTTTAAAATACATATTGTTTTTAGAATAATTGCAACATTATGCATAATATGTCTTTTTATTCTCTTCTTCTTGTGTTTAAAACGACTACTAATACTTTATTTTGCAATTACTTTTAAGCGATAAGGTAACAAAAAAAAACACATTTTAACTAGATTTTATAGTTTATTCTCAAGAGTTTATAATACCTTTCCAAAAGCAACAAAGTTAATCCTAAGTGATAAATAAAATTTTCTTTGAATAGTTAATAGATGAAAAAAAAATCAGATTTTGAAGGCAATTATTATTTGATTCGAAAATTATGCCGCATTTTTTATAATACTTCACTTTTGAAACAATGTTGTTACAAAAAAAAAAAATTGTCAGCTTAACTGGGTATTCTTATTCTCCAATGCTTAAACATCTGAAGAATAGAATTGAACACTTCTCAATACATTGAAATCAAAACTATTTGAATTAGTAATAATTTCGAATTATTCGAGTTATTTGAATTTGAAAGAGAAGCTAAAATACATCGAATTACTCTAAATTCAAACAAACAAAAATATACAAAGAGGCAAAATAATAATATACAATGTTATATTTTATGATTTCAGTTGCAATACTTACTTTGCCTTTAATATAAGAGTAAATTTAAGAGTAAATTAAAATAATTTATTTTTACATTTATCTAAGATTATAAATAATTAATTAAATGATAAACTCATAAACACTTGTTATATATTGAGGTTTTGGGACAATTTAATGAAAAGCCATCTTTGTGGCTAAAAACATTACGATTACATGATAGGAAATAAGAAGATTCCGTGTATTTTACAGTTATCAAGTAAAAAGTTTCGAAATATGCTTTGTATGTATCTAGAAACGAAACTAAGAACTAGGTTGATGTAATAATGCTACTGTTTATGCCGACCAGGTGGCCGAGTGGTTAGCGTGCCTGACTACGGAGCCGCTGGTCGCGGGTTCGAATCCGGCTCAGGGCATGGATGTTTCTTTCTCTCTCTCT